ATTGTAACTTTTAACTTTTTTGGCTTCTCGTTTCCTAAATTAGTCCAATAAGCAATCGCATCCAAGTATTTAGCCAAAATATCGCTCAATCCCATACAAATAATATCTTACAAATCAGACAATGGTATGTAATTCAGCATGCTGTCATATACTATCGTCTTCAGGGATGGGAGTTGAAGTTCGACGAGAATCCAATGACGACGTTCCATAACAGGGATAAACACCTGCAATATAATAAATAATACTTCAACTACGCACATCAAATAAATTTTATGAACTCCTTTACATATGCAAAAATAAATACTAACCTTATCGACCTCCCACCACGCATGATAAAGAATAGCTTTGCCATTACCTAACGCATATGAAGAGTTTCTCTGATCCTTTAAGTGAGTTGCGTGAAAAGACGAAGGCATAATAGTTCATCGCGTCTTTTTGAGTTTCTTCAATTTCCTTAAGACCAGAAGTCGTGTTACCCAGGCATCAATATGTTGTTTATAAAAAAATACATATATTAGTGAATTTAATAAATTTTAAAAAATAATCAAAATCAATATAAAAAGAATATAATACTTATCCCCCATTCGAAATAGCCATTCTCTTCAACCCCTAATAAAACACCCTACCAAGACCGCTTAAGAAACAAATATGTATCATCGATTTTGCATATGTCGGTAAAGCACCCCTGGCTCAGCTCATGTAGATAAAAATCAACTGCGGTCTTAGCCCAAACGGTATTATCCTTAATTGTGTCTGGTAGTGTGCATATCTCGTGCTGAGGAATGGTACTAGCTGGTAACTGATACGAAAACCATATCTGATCCATCATACCGGGCACAAGAGGGGGTTTACCAATATGTAGACATAGTATGGAATGTGGATCCTGAAAGATAGGAGGTGGATCCTGAACGATGGGAGGGGCCTCTTGAACGATGGGAGGGGCCTATTGAACGATGGGAGATGCCTCTTGAACGATGAGAGGTGAATCATGAACAATGGGATGTGGATCCTGAATGGTTGTAGGTGGATCAGGCTTATTCTTACGCAGTCTTGGAACTATTGGGGTGAAAAGAGACGTAATGGCAGATCTACAACGTCTGATGCGTGAACCCCATCGTGTAAGAAAAACCCGACGTAAAACACCTACATCATCGGGCCGCTAAAAATAAATTAATACATAAATCAGTAAATAAATAAATAAATAATGTCAAAAAAGTTATTTGCATTTTTAGTATATTATTTCTTATAAAATTAAACAAACTTACCTCTTTGCGTAGAGTATGAACCTCATTCTGTAACAACGAAACAATCTCACGTAGAGCACCCACCTCATCACATAAAGCAGCTATCTCACCACGTAAAGCACCATTGTTATCACGTAAAACAACTACGTCACCATGTAAAGACCCTGCCTCATCACGCCATGCACCATTATCATCACGTAAAGCACCTACCTCATCACGTAAAGCACTGACCTCATCACGTAAAGCACCTAAATCATCCCATGGAGGTGGAGAACGGGGAGATAAATATCGTTTCATCTTTTTCAGTCGCCTATCATGGGGTGATGGTGGAGAAGAGGCTCGATGATGTGATGGAATAGGTGATGGGTCTCGGTGTCGAGGTATAGAGTCGGCTAGAGATGATGGCTCTCGGTGTCGAGGTGTAGAATCGGCTCGATCAGGTGATAAATCTCGGTGTCGAAGTGGAGAATCGACTCGATGAGGTGATGGATCTCGGTGTCGAACTGAAGAATCGACTCGATGAAAAAGTGGTGGGTGCTCATCATCCGTCCCATAAAAAAATACCTACTAGCTTGCCACCAATCAGTGGCAAGCTCATCCTCTGTGGGTGTCAATGTCTGTATTGGATAGTTTGACTCCTAACAATATAAAAGCCAAAACAAAGTCAAACGTCTACTAGTAATAACTTGTTTATATATGGTAGTATTTGTGTTAACTTACATCATTGATCGTCGTATATGGTAGTAAATCTTCCCAATCCAACAGTCGGATCCTCTTCCATGTAATAGCCTTAGGAATATCATTGGAATTCTTGATGGCAAAAGTACGCATGCTGGGAAATGCCTCAAATATCCAAATCTACAAACAATATAATACACAAACATTAATTTTAGTAATTGTTAAATAATTAATTTTGGAAACATTATATAAAAATTCTTACCTTAAAGGCCCAAATAAAGCCTACCAAAGTGTATTTGGAACCATGCCCACGCAAACTACGACGGTCCTCAAAGACAAACGATAATTTTTTTCAAGTAGTTTTCCATAGATATGAACCCCACAGAAACACGTTCAATGCATCTAGGTCATCTACCAATAATATTAAATCCTGAGAAATAGGTTGTATGCCCTCTTTGGCTAAAAAACGACATACAAAAGTAGCAAAAGGCATACTCGGACAACATCAAGGTCATCCATCCGAGTAAAACCATCTTTAAGAAGTAATATTCTCAAATCGTTGACGTGTAAAGTGGCCTTCACCTTTGCCAGCTCAGGAAAAACCCGAAATAACCATGATGGGCGAGCGATATGACTAGTGTACGAACCTAATTCATCGTGTCTTCCGAAACGTAGATCAGTGACTAAGCAAAACTCCTCCCGCCCAAAACGAGTATACGCCGGTGGAAAATGAAACCATATCTCCTCATCACCACGTTGTATCCCCTTGGGTATATCGTTAGTCATGGTCTGAAGAAACAAATGAGTCAACATAGCATCTCCACCTGGATGTTGTACTTTTAGCCATGGCCCGTAATAAGTATTCTCAAACAAATTTCTTTGGACAGGTGTAAGTGTCGACGCAATTGTAGTGGCTAGGCTTAATTTATTCCTTAAAGTCAATGCAGCCGAAAAAAATTCCTAACAAAAACAATAAACATACCAAGTTAGATATACTAATAATATACCAAAAACTACAAATTATACACAATAATCAGACATGATATTAAACATGGAAAATATAGCCAAATATGTTTCAAACTAGCCTGGTATTCACCCAAGTCATTATTCTATCATAGTTCACAAAATGCATCAGACAACATTCCAGAAGTAAGCACTTATATAAACATTTAAAAGGACAATATATAGGTTTAGTACAGGTTCAAGGACAACATTCTAGAAGAGTAGTTGTTTTTTCAGTTTTCAAATTTGCAACACTGTGAAGTTAGTATTTGTCTTTGTTTTTTGGTTGAAGTAATGCAATTCATTCAAGTTTCAATTTGCATAAGAAGAGTAGTTTATTCTTGAAACTTAAATTCGCAACATGAAAATTGCAACTCGAAAATAAAATTCGCAACACGAAAATCGCAACGCGAAAACTAAAATCGCATTGCGAATTTAAGTTTCAAAGACTACTCTTCATCTGCAAATTGAAACTTGAATGAATTGCATTACTTCAACCAAAAGAGAAATATTAACTTTACAGAGTTAAAGACTAAATATTTTAGCTGTATTGGTAACAACCGAATGAATTTATTTAGTAATCTAAGTGAAATGTTTAATCTATATATTGAAATTACGAGTAAATTTATCATCAATTTAAATATGAAAATCTAATAATAATACAAAAAATTTAAAATAAAAATAATTAAAAAAAACTAACCCTCAGTGGTTGATTTTCCATTTGTGGCCGTGAATGGTTGTGAGAGGGTGGCTCTGAGAGATGGAGATGGAGGGGGGTCGCCGGATATGGGGACGGATGTCGTCGGAGATGGGGACGGATGTCACCGTAGAGAGTGAGAGATGAAGATGAGACTGAGTTGTGATTTAGGGGTTTAGGTTATGAGTTACGAATTACGGGATATACTATTTACATTTGTGTTGCGAAAATAAACGCGCTTTGCGAATTATAAAATCTTATTGCGAAAAGGACTCGCGTTGCGAATTTGGAAAATTGCGTTGCGAAAAAGAAATTCGAGTTGCGAATTTGAAAACTGAGTTACGAATTTGGGAAATTCGCTTTGCGAATTTGGAAACTGTGTTGCGAAATTGTAGTTCATGTTGCAAATTTGAAATCGCGTTGCGAATTTGTTGGTTATTTTTGCAAATCCAAAAAAAGTTGGTTAAAATCGTATATTATAAGGCATTTTCGATTACTTAAATTATTCTCTATCATATTTTAGTATGCTTGTTGCAGGTAGAGTGGTAAACGCTTCATGGAGACAGAACCCCACGACTAGAGATATAAATGAACCAAACGTTTAACGAACAGTTCATCAAGAAATAGAAACAAAGACGGAACCCCACAACTAAAAATATAAACGAACCGAACCTTTAACTTACCATTCATCAAGAAATTCATTTGTGTTCGCCGAGTTCAAGATTTCCAAGTTCATTCGGTGGGTTCAAGAAAGAGTAGAATTGAATGATGAAAAAATTTCAAATATTAGTCAAAATGTAGTGAGAATACATTTTAATTTTTAATAAAATTAGCACGAATCAATTTATCTTAATAAATAAAGGATTCATTATTATTCCTAAAAATTACAAATTCAAACACCATCATCAGTAGCATAATGATTGAACATTTATTGGTGAATGGTTGAATACTTAGAACATTTACTATTTTTGTAATCAGCTTAATCAAAAATAATTATTTTTTAATAAAATTAATTAATTTTGATACATTATGATGCTTTGTGAGTACCAGATTGGAGATTACAAAATATGGGTAATTACACAACATAAGAACTAAGGCAAATGAGCACAAAAGTAGGATTTATATCTAAGAAATCTTCACCTATTCAGTTTCAGTAATCCATCAACAGATATCATTTCCTATTTTAATTCAGTTCCTATAATTTGTATTTTTTTCCGTGTTTCCTACTGTCACACCAATCTCTCCTACTTAAGATGAACTGGCTCAATATGTACCAATTTTCTCGAAATCCAAATCATTTCCAGTAAAAACGGCATGTCTTTTCTGTGGCAAGTTCTGAATATACCAACCTAACGTTACACACTCGATTTATGGAAAAGAGACTTCACTCGAGCTTGGTACCTCGCTCTCTTGCTGCTTCCACGACAATGTTCCGGTCTCCAATCTTACTGATTAGATTGTAATAACACAGCCATAACTTGAGGGAGAATGGATATGCTGTTAAAGCCTTTCTATAAAATCTTGCAAGTACGGCCTCCATGCCTGGAATATTGTCCATTATATCTGCAGTATTTACCCATGCGAGCTCAGGTGGAATTGAGACTGCATGAAAGAATGCATCGACCAAGGTTGAGCCAGCCCAAAACAAAAGACCGGAAGAAACATCCCTACTGTGATCACCTCGGCTTAACATCTTACACACAGAAAACATTAATTCGTAGTTGGATGGTGCTAATGCCAATATGGCTTCCACAAAATCGACTAGACCCTTTGGCTGAGTTAGATTTTGGGGCAAAAGTGATGGGCCATACCAGACTTCAAGGACCAAGTTCACAAGAGAAGAATCAGATGAGACTGGACACAGAATGTTTCGAACAAGTTGCTGCACTCTTGGCTTCTCAATCACAGTGATAAAATGTCTGGATAGAGGCTCGCAGACTTGGAAAGACCGAGCAATTTCCAAATACATATTCAACGTATTGATCTGCCAACTAATAGGAACATCACTCTTTTGTGACTCATCATTGAGCAAAAACAAGGCATGCTCATTTACACAATGATTGAAACTCATGGGTGTAGTGGCGACCCTCAATGCCTGGTCAATAGCTGAGTGAGCCTCAATGTTATCATTTTGCAAAAAGTTGTAAAGGAAGAGATTAAGATATCCAAACATCATATCCGTCTGATTTGTGTCAGGTAACACGACGTGGGACTTTAACGTTGAATCCGTTTCAGGAGAGACAATAGAGTTCCCACCATCCATGGCTTTCAAATTTTCACTTTCAGGGTACTGAACTTTCCAAACTGAGTTATACCAGCATGTCATGACATTTTTCGCAAGATCAGGTTTTCCATTCTGTTGGGCATATTCAGAAAACTGATTATAGTGTTATGAACTGAGGAGAATAGAGAAGGAAAAATCGAAGGAATAAAGGTTTTAGAAGAAGAAAAGCATAGAGATTTCAGAAATCAGAATTTCATTCATTCATCAGGTGATTTCTTTCTTCCCCAGTACACGGTTTTATTTGCATTACAATGTACTATGGCAATTGTGAAAGTGACAGCTGTATAACTAACTTCTAACATATTCCATGCAGATAAGAACTAAATATTTTCCTCCTTTGGGCTGTTGGCTGGATTGTAGGTCGGTTCTTGCTGCATAGGTAATGGACTTCCCTTTTTATATCTATTGTTTTAATAATCACTTGCTTCCCACGTCCACTCTCCTCTTTCATCCAATCCCTAAATTTCCCAATTGATTTACTCTCAATCCCTAACCCTTCCTTAGTAATTCCCAAATTACTTTCTTCGAGTCTAACTTCTTCTTCTCTGCCTTCTCTCTCGTGCATGACATTACCCCCTCCACGAGTAGATCCTTGTCCCCAAGGATCGAAACTTGGAAACCGAGACATGAGACTGGTATGAGCTTCCCAAGTATCGTGATTTGAGTTCAAGTTCATCCATCATATGAGTAAATTCTGGCATAAAGATTACAATCTTAGGTATACTTCTTCTCCAATTTGAAACTGTCGTTCACTTCGATTTTTATCAGCATGTTGTTTAATTCTGTTCTACAATATATCTGGGACCTTATGCACTGTGAATTCTAAACACCATAGCAGAGTAGGTGGTTTATCGAAATTCACATTCACTTCATACAACACCCCATGATTGTTTTGTGAAACTTTGTTCTTCCTATATCTTTTGGGCTCTCATTTCTCCGTTTCAATGTAACAAGTTGCCCAACTCGAAGACCAACAGAATAAAGAGGTAGAAACCCAATAGCTAAACATGGGTCGTGGATTGGCAGCTGCAAGATTAGAGCACTCCAAAAGATTAAATTCTGACTAGTATTGAAACTAAAACAATAATCGTTCAAAGCTTTGTAGTTCACCAAGTTTCCATTGTGACCAACTTCAGTAGACCCAAACTTATACCCCACATCTTTCTTATATTTGCCCCAAACCCACTGTTGGGTTTCAACTTTTGGAATCACTTCAACAATATTTAGTTCACCACCTTCTATTTCTTTTCCGATAAGAGCAAGCATCTCTACCATTTGAAGTTTAAGGAAAAAAATTTCAATTGATTCAGACAATCTAAGTTCTCCAGCAATTGGCTTGACATATTGCAATAACTCAACAACAACAACATGCTCTAGTCCTGATTTTTTAATGGATTCTGTTAGCACAATATTATCTTGCTTTGCAACAGTAGAACTTTTTTCTGCACCTGTTGAACTATTCTCAAATTTTGGAGATTGAACATAACTTCTTGACCTTGTGAAAACATCTTCACTCCTTGCTTTGCTCCGGCATTGTCCTCTTTCTTCAATTTTCACACCACAATATACAATATTATAAACAGGTATGACAAATTTTGACTCCAATAACTCATGAACATCAAGCTGTTGTCTTGATTTGGAGATGGATTATGTTGGTACCTTACCATCCTGTTTAGAAATAGTAGAAGTGTTGCCTATACCTGAAAACCCACTCATAGACATGGAAGGTTGAGTAGAACTTCTTGATCTAGTGACTCGACCAGAGACAACCTTTTCATTCTTTTCCTTACTTCTGCAGTCCACTCTTTTACCCTTTCCACCTCATAACTCACAACATTATTCTTCTTTGCAACAAAAGAATTGTTGTCTGTACCCAACGGCCCACTTTCAGACTTGGAATGATGGATAAAACTTCTCATTCTTTCAAAATTATAGCCAACAATATACCTATATCCACCTAAATAAGTTACCACAATCTGTTTTTGTGAGTTTATAACCATTTGTCTCGCCCTCCAAGAGTCTGGATAAATCCACGACAAATGGTTGAAAGGTAGCAACTTGAACCGACATAGGCAATTCTTGATTTTCTCGCGAAATCAGATTGGTGTATCCAACCAGACTGACGTTCTGCTGCAGTCGATTTTCTCGCGAAATCAGTTTGGTGTATCGAACCAGACTGACGTTCGGCTGCAGCCGTGAATTAGCTTTTATGGTGCTGGTGATAGATGGAAATACAACACTAGCTACACTTGCTGACATTTTATCGAACATTTGAGAAACGTTATATGTGCCTTCTATTGCCACCGATAACATCCTTTTAGGAGTGAGGAAAATGGGTTTAGACTCACCCAGTGAAAGTTGACCCATTCCTTTCTCCCCATGAATTTGTTGTTCCTGTAGTTGAGTAAAGTAGTCCCCATTAATTTGCTTTTGCTCACTCTTTTTATCATTCAGAATATGTAAGATCTGCTCCACATATCTTTGATTTGTTTCCAGTTTAGATTCCAACGTACTCAATCGGCTTTCCTGCTTTTTCCACCATTTAGGAGGATTAGTTTCATCCTGTGATTGCTTCATCAAAGTTGTTAAATCTTCAAGTTGTTTTCGTATGGCAGAAAGATCAGGATTTTCTGGCATTGTTTGGTTTTTTTTGGCATTCTCAAGCGTTGATTGCCAGGAGTGATGGCTCTGTATACCAATTTGTTATGAACTGAGGAGAATAGAGAAGGAAAAATCGAAGGAATAAAGGTTTAAGAAGAAGAAAAGCATAGAGATTTCAGAAATCAGAATTTCATTCATTCATCAGGTGATTTCTTTCTTCCCCAGTACACGGTTTTATTTCATTACAATGTACTATGGCAATTGTGAAAGTGACAGCTGTATAACTAACTTCTAACAGATTCCCTGCAGATAAGAACTAAATATTTTCCTCTTTTGGGTTGTTGGCTGGATTGCAGGCCGGTTCTTGCTGCATAGGTAATGGACTTCCCTTTTTATATCTATTGTTTTAATAATCACTTGCTTCCCACGTGCACTCTCCTCTTTCATCCAATCCCTAAATATCCCAATTGATTTACTCTCAATCCCTAACCCTTCCTTAGTAATTCCCAAATTACTTTCTTCGAGTCTAACTTCTTCTTCTCTGCCTTCTCTCTCGTGCATGACATATAGATGCAGTGAATTCCAGGGGATTCTTTTGGCCAGTTATGAAGGGATTCTTCAAACCCGATAAAACCCATATTCTTGGAATCATAGTTTGGCACTCGTACAGATATCAGAACAAGTTCTAAGCAAGATGGATACACTTTTCTGTATTTTTCAAACATGCTTCGACTGCAGTCAGCACTACCAAATGCAAACAAACACTTAACGTGATTGAGTGCGAAAACTTGAGCTGATTTGATACCAGTTTCACTCCTAAATGATCCGATATTGATGTATGAGTCAACGTAACTTACTACCATTTCTAACAAGTGTAGAGCCTTTTTCTTTTCATCATTGCCTAGATGAACATAGGGCCATTCGACTGGAAGGAGTTCTTTCTCAAGCTCTAACCGCCGCACCACAGCATCTGGCAGCTTCCTGTAAATAACCAAGTAAATACAAGAAACCCATAATACACATTTGTCAGAAATGGTTAAGCATGTGAGGATATTAGAAAACATCGAACAATGAGGCCCATCAGAATTTGTTGTAGCAGGGAAGCGTCTATATACTGTCTGGATGGCTTTCTCAAAATTCCCAGATATGCACAAACAATCCATCATTTGCAAAAACAGGTCTAAGATGCATGCACTCATATGCATTACATTCTTTTCAGAGGAAGAAGCATGACGGCAAAGTGCTGAAATAGCAACCTCATAGGCAACCAATCGATCATCCAATTGTTTTCGATTGTTGATGTACATAAGCCAAAGTTCATATGACCCTCCATTGCTTCTGACCTGAAGACCAAGAGAAGACGTATGCCCAAACAAAAGGTTTGAATTTTATCTGAATTCTCCAAAGGGAGGAACAAGGATGCATGTCTATACATACACATTTTTACAGAGATTCACATTTATACATGCTTAGTTTCTGTGTAAGAGGGATAAAAAAAAGGAATACCGAAGATTTGAAGTGCTACCAAAGCAGGACCACTAATTTAATGCCAATCAGCCAATGCAAAACGAACTCTTTAAAGTTCAAAGATAAGTATTGAAAATAACATAATAGATAAAGTTGCAAACACACAAAAATACTTGAGGTAATATCTTAAGCAAACTGAAAAGAATGACAAACGTAAAAGTCAAAAGTTAGTGATCTCTCTTGATTTTAGGCGACCTAACTTTGGCATTTAGTCTCTTTCTATACCGACTCCCTCTCATTTTCTCTAGGCTGGGGGGTTCGGTGGCCGTTCAAAACTTCATCACCGTCGTCAGACGCCACGCCGGCCGCCATCACCGGTGGCCGTTGACCATCGAAACTTCACAGTTTGCTCGCTTCAACGTCAGCAACAAGGATTTAGGCTTCGTTTCATGAGACACAACCTACTTCAAAGTAGATCTCAGTCGAGGCCCACCGCAATAGCCACCATCAACGGTGATTCTGAGACTCAATTAAGCTTGATAAATTCGCTCCGACACCGGGAATCCAGAACTGAGTTCGGATTCTGAAGAAAAAGCCCCCATCTACACAAAAACGACGGAAATTGCAGCAGCTTGGAATGTTCTGATCTCCTTCTGTAGCCGTTGGATCGTCCCAAATCCGAGGTAGGTTGCTCTCGGGGATATTCTATGCCTTCTCACCTTTGGGATTAACCAATGGAGAGCCCAGACTACGGTTAATGGCTACGTACGAGAATTTTAGTTCAAAGAGGGCAGCTACGAGGCGACTAAGGGTTCTACAAACATAGTCAGGTAATAAAACTTGCGTTGATTGTATCCAAAAGAAGACTCAAGATGCGTCGGTTTCCTATGGTGAATGCAAGGATCCACCTGTTGCGAAGAAAAAGGTCAATAGTGGTTCTGGTATTAATCGGCAGCAGGCATTGAACGAATCTTTGAGTGACAATAGGAGGAACCAAGTAGCAAGTTATTTTAGATCAGGGAATTATCTCGGTGGTGGAATAGGAGGTGCTCAGGTGAAGTCAAGGTCGATTAAGGATAAGTTAAAGAGATCCCATTTGCAGGCATCGTTAGCGAATAAGGATACATCATCAACTCAAAATGCGGCAGGGGTTGTCCATGATGGAATCAAGGAGTTACCCAAAAAGGGGTATTGTGATGAAAAGCTTGGTGAAGTTGCAAGAAGTGGGAAAATTGGGCTTAATAATGGGTGGAAGGAAGGCCATCCAAAAATAAGTAACAGGTATAGAAGCGGTTGCTTCACGTTATTTATCGAAAATCTACCAGAGAAGATCCATTGGAATTGGTTAGGATATTTATTTTGCACCCACGATCGGGTTATTGACGCATTCATTCCAAACAAAAGAAATTCGAAAGGGCTTCGCTTTGGTTTCATTCGTTTTGCAACAATCGAAGAAACAAGGAAAGCGATCTCAGAAATGAATGGATCTCATATTGACGGGAGCAAAGTTAGTGTATTTTTGGCTAAATTCAAACCTCGCCAGTCTTTTTGGAGAAAGTCCTCTACATCAGTTCACCGTAAGTCTGGGATGGAAGGTGTTTCGAGGAAGAATCATTGTGAAGTTGAAGGTGTTATGGACGAAGATAAACTTCACGTGTTGAGTAAATGTCTAGTGGGGTTGTGCAAGGACTTTATCAAAATCAGTCATCTCGCTAGAGCAAGTGAAGGGCCTCACTGGTTTCTCCTTAATGAGAGTTGCTGGAAATGCGGCATTAATGATTTTCGAAGACTCTACTTCATTGAGAAGTGTGAAGAACGATAAATCATAGACTCTCGCAAAGTGGTTCTCCAGAGTCGAAGCTTGGTCAGAGAGTTTGGTAGTCGTCGAGTATGGTTAGTTTGCGAGGGTGTTCCTTTTCACGCATGGAATTAGGATACTTTCAAAAATATTGCTGATAAGTAGGGTTATTTATTAGCAATCGACGAAAGCTGTCAGTCACCATCATATTTTGATCGGGCAAAACTTCAAGTCCTCACAAAGGTTGATGTGAGAATTGATGCGACGTTGGAATTGAAGGTCGGTGACAACTCCTTTAAAATCATGGTGCATGAGATTAAGCTTTCATTCAAACCAAACTCTTGAGCCCCAAACGAAGTCGAATCTCATTAGATCTCGTCTCTTCAATTGTGGCTTTGATTTAGTTTAAATGGTTATAGGTGTTGGTTTTCTTTTGTGTTACGTTCTTTTGCGTTGTTTTTTATCCTATTACTGAAGGTGTAACTTAGAAATAAGGTGATTGTCTACTGTGACTTTTGGATAAGGATGTGTCAGCTTAAGGTTTTTGTTGTAATGGTGTATATCACCATAAGAGGATATTTCGTGTTTTCTTATGTATTGGGTATTATTATTAATAAACTATGAGGTACTCTTTTCTTTCTTCCAATGTTCGTTAATATACTTCTTAGTATGTGAACGAATACGAATGGAGTTTTTAATGAGACCTCCAACTGTAGCAAAGAGATAAAACTACTAATGGAAACCAATGACCCCAAGCAGATTAAAACAAACTAAAGATATTAAAAGCATGCACAAGACAATGGATAAAATATTTAGTTTCCAAATGAAGAGAACCACTGACAACCAAAAAGTTCTGATATCTATGACAGGGTTTCAAATCGCGATCACGGTCATGTTTTCGGTTATTTCGGATTTACCGTGATTGCGGCCGTCACGGGCGCTATTACAGACGCTATTGTGGCCGTTGCGGATAACTCGGACGGCGGCGAAACTGCTATATCACGGCCGAAATCGCGATCGCAGACTGTTTTTTAAAACCCTGATCTATGATGCTGTTAGTATCCAAATGAACAACCATTAGAAGAGTGAATCAACAAAACCCAATAGACAAAAACTTCTAAATATCAGATTAGTTACAATTTAACCAATACAATACCTCCAATATCTGAATGTCACCAACATGCAGAGAGTCGAAATAATTATTATAAGCATGCATATAAATTTACATACTGCAAAAGAGAACATGTGAAGCATTAAATTAAATACCGCAAAAGAAAACATGTCATCCTTCCCAATAAACAACCTACAACTATAGCAAATAAGCAGGTAAACCATCCAGAGAGTTTCTGATGCTGGATCAGCCTCGAGGGACCGTGAAAGCAAAGAAAGAGCCTGCAAATTAAAAAAGTGTAGCTGATGACAGAAACAGAACTGTTGGTATGAGAATATGAGCCAGATGTTATCTTGCAGGTTGCTATGGTTACCTTTTTCATACCCTCCAATTTGTTAACCTCCTGGTTGAGGATAAGCAAAGCCATCTCCAAGGACTGGATCGTTGTATCAAAAGATTGGTTGAGTTTTTTCTGAGTACACACCATGAAGGAGTGTCCTAATTAGAATATGGGTAAACAACACTACGCTAAATTGTCATTTATAAATGTAAATGAGTGGAAGCAAGCACTGAATGAAAGTTGAAAAATAACAGAAGGCATTGCTTTTGACAATCTCGGAGAGAGCACCGGGTTTTTCCCAAGAGAAGACCAAAGGGTTTATCCGTAGGAAATTGTATAAAAAAACAGGAAATCAGTTATAGAATGTATTCTAGGAAAAATAACCAAGACTTCCCAATTTCTTTCAATCTCACAGTTAACAAGAGATTATTAAAGAATAAATGAAAGTTCAACCCTATGCTCACAGTCAAAGGGACTTATTAAACAACAAATACTTGAAAGTAGACAACAATTTAGGGGAAACAGAGATTGAGTGAAGTTGCCTGTGTTTGTACATAAATATCAGGCAGGAATGTAAAGCAAAGATACAAAAAAGAAAAGGAATATAGAGCTCAACACCCGAAAAAGAAAGAGTAGAAAAATAAAATAAAATAAAATGCATCACAAACCGCTATTCTATTTCTACTTTGGAAATATGAGGATTGTCTATTCCAGCTGCCATACACTTCGATACGACCATCATCACCATGGATGAAAGATTCGTCTGTAGATAATCTTTCATCTGTAGGTAAATCTTTCTGAAAAATGCTTGATAGAGATAAGCAAATACTGAAATACTTCCACCAGCAGTGTGCATTTCCCCAAGGAACAACAGATTCGTGTGGATCAGCTTTTAGAATATCTAAGCTGACAATATAAGTTGGTGAAATGAAAACATCATGATATTTGGCAAGTTTTGTTGGACCATTACTTTGCTCTTGATATGATGCCAGCACAAGCTGAGAATCTGCAAAAGGATTGTTTCAACAAGGTTAGCAACAACACACAGGTTTCCAAATTTGTAAAAAAAATGTTATTCATACCAGCACCGTTAGAATCATCATTTGTATTCAAATATGTATTTCTCTTAGACAACTCCTTGACATGTTGAAAGGGGCATTCATCATTGTTGCATTTTCCTCGGAGCTCATACATGCAGAGTGGCCAAGATGGGTCAATTGCAATATCGCACATATATGAGCCCATTCGTTTCCCAAATAAATCACAAATGGCCTCCTCTAAAGAGTTTGTAATCTGACTAGACTGTTTAATTTCATCAATGTTGACATAAGCACCCTCTTCACTGTAGACACGATCCTCTCTTTGTCTGGAGACAGGAGACAAGACCTTCAGATGGTCAATTGCACTCCTCAAAATGGAAGGTGAAAATATTGTAGATGTCACTGAAAAGTGAAATCCAGCAAAAAATCCATTGTCCACTACATTTGCTGAAGAGTCAAACTTTACAATATTATTTTTTTCCTGGTGCTGACCCTAATTCTCCACAGCTTCTGGTGTAAATTCATTTGGTTTTTGAGGGCCTATATCAGGAAAAGTCTATTGTTAAATCTTTTTTCAACAAACCAAAATAATGTTGCTAAAACATTGTTCACAAAGAAATAAGCTACCCGAAACATCAAATTGATGCTTTTTCTCTGCCTCTGAGACTGACAGCGTAATACTACCATTGCTCATCTGGGTCTTTCCACTTTCAACATCATTTTCAGCTTCTCGTTCAATATAAGGCTCATTGTAACGCGAATCAATGTTCTTTGATGAAGTTCTCACCCCCAGTCTTGCAAATAGTTCAGACCTCAATGATGCTTCAAAAAGTAAAGAATCCTGATTACTAGACTCATTATTTGCATTCTTTTCATTTACTTCAGAATTTTTATGTTTTTGCTGATAGTCAGGACTAGGTTGACTAGAATCACGGTCCATTAGAGAAGTCCCTTCGTCTGCTGAAATAATAGGGCTGCACGGAGATCTTAATCCATTAGCAGCATTGTTACTATTATGAGGAAATGGCTCTGATGTGCTAGCATCCTGCTCACTGCATGGTTCAGAACCCAAATTTTGTCCATTATTATGCCGTAGAGACATATTGTGAGGAGCTATATTCATACATTGGACATTTGCATCGTTCCCTGGTTGATGAAGACCGTCATAGGCTGACAGTAGTCTATTATATGTCGGTACAAGGTTCATATTTTCAGGTACATCATCTGAGATATCCAATCCCGCTCTGGTGTGTCCATGTTGCCTGGAAGACCATAATAAACAGGAATTGTCCACAATTAAAGATCTGTAGCGGGCTGAACCAATTTCCCTTTGACGATAAAGATCTGCACATCTAGCATTAGCTTCAATCAAAGCTCTCTGAGCTTTCCGGTAAGCTTTAAGCACATTTCTTTCTTCAATTTCACACAAGCGTCTGTGGTTTTGTGCTTCCTCTAGCTCCTTGTCCAGATTTTCCTCAATTTCAATTAAAGAATGTATATCCACATCTACATTAGAATGACCAGAGGTATTTACATGACTCAAACTGTTCCACAGCCTTGCAGTATACTGATATTTCTGAAATTCAGTGTTAGTAAAGTTTCAGCATAGTCATAATATGAAGCAAGGCCCATCAGATGCAACATAGGATGGGAAAAATTCATTGAATATTTCGATTATGACATTTAAGCAGGGTGGAAAGCAGCTATGATATGTTATAACCACACAGTGCCAATATTAGTTTTAAGAAACATTTTCAGTGAAGTTCACCTTAAAACGTTAACTTACCAAGTTATTTGGCATAGCATTGGCACTTATGCTTGTTAAAGTTGCAGTCTTATTTTCTAAAACACTTGGATCAACCTCCCTACTGGACCTTTTGGATTGTTGCAAATTCTTATGCAAGTCCACACCTGCGGATGAAAGAACCACATCAGTCAGAGCATCCACAGGATTCTATAAGAAAATTTTAAAAGATTAACAATTTCTTTTACCATCCTTCACCACTTTAGATGTATCTTCTGATGAAATATCAACCAGCTTGTCGTCTTTCTTTTTCCATTTAATGCTTGACATGGCTTTGCTTACTGGAGCTACTTTCTTGCTTTCCTCAACCTTATCCTTGATCTCAAGACTGTTTGTCTCCATTTTTTGGATTTTTTCCACTGAATTAGATTTTACATGACATACCTCCGGTTGGGCACCTGAATTTGATTGGGTAAAATTAGAACCACCGGATTTCAAGCGTTTCTTCTGTGGTTCTTTTGGATCTATTGAACCAGCATATGCTGAAGTTGCAATCCACTTCCTTCCTCCACTATTTTCTAGGCTCATAGTTGTTGTTTCCTTATGTTGAGCCTTAAGCTTCAATTCACTTTCCCGTAGTGCAATCTGCTGCCTCAAGTCCTGGAGTTTACTATTGTTAGAAACTACACCTTGCTCAGACATAAGATCTTGGCATGCCACATTTTTGTTGCGGGGATTAAAATATCTAACTTGTGATCCTTGATCAACCGAAGACACAGCAACCTTGGAATTGGCCCCACCATTGGTCTTGGTCATAGATGATATAAATGTACGGCTTAAAGATTTCTTGGGAATTACTCTGGTAATATTCCTAGAAGTCTGTCCTAACTTGTTCATCTTTTGTGCAGATGAAGTTAGGGGTCTCTGTGAACCATCCCAAGTTGAGTTGGATTTATTTTCAACAGGTTTTTGTCGACTGCATTCTTCCAAGTCACTTCCACTGTCATCATCTGAGAAGCGTATTACAAGATTATTGCTGACTCCAGAAGGTGCATACCGACTACGATTAGTGGATTTAACTAGCAACTGATTCTTCTCCACATTTTTCTGACTAATTGGTGGAATTGGTTGTTGTGAGAGAACATCAGCAGCACTGGCAATATTATAGCCAGCAATAGCATTCCCTATATATCAGCAGAAACATTAAAATATAATATTAAAACTCAGAAAACATTTAATTGTTTTCACAATATTAGGAAAACATCTTATATTGTAGGTAAAAGGCATTTTCCAGAAGTAGTGAAGGTAGCAGAGGTAAAATAAAATCAACAAAAAAACTAAGCACATAAAAAGTCTTATAAAACCATCAAATAGCATCCAAATACTGAATTCCTTGAAGTGCAATTTGAGCACCAGTTTAATACTAATACACAAACATGTATTTCAATGAGCTTCAGCTGCAACAAAATAAGCTCTGAATATGTTGGAAACATTGAAGCTACTGAGAATCTCAGCACTAACCTCTAGGACTTACCAGAGAGATTTGGTGGTATGGGTTTTACTGCTGAAGGCGCTACATTAGACCTCGAAGGTGGGGCAATAGTACCACTAGACTGTGCAGTGGAGTAATCCAGGTTTTCCTGTAAAGAAAAATCATTTAATACAGCAAAAGTCTGGTACATATTTTTGTTACAAAGTGAGAAAAAAATGACAACAGGCAAATAGCAAAACTTATATATATATATATATATTAAGCAAGATAGAGCTTCGTATATTTCAAACGAAACAAAGTTACCACTAAAAGCTCTGCTTCGGATCCAATATTTTACAAAAGCAACAAGTGTTTAAACTAAATGTAACTAAGCATAATAAAAAAAATACAAATATAATCTATTTAGCTTTAGAAAAGCAACATATATTATGCCTTCAAATATCAAAAAAGAAAAAGAAAACATAAACGGCGAAAACAAGAATACTCCGACGTTCATTTATCTTATTTAAGACCAAAAGCGACGAAATATTTTCTTTCCCTTTTCCTCGATTTCTCAGCAACCAATATATATATATATATCCACAATAAATCTGCAAAAATGGACAAATGATTTTTCATAGAAATGAACACTTCCCTATATCTCCGCAGCAGCCAAAAAAAAATAACAGCTAAACAATCGGAGGAAGGATGTACAAGTAAATTAGGGTTAAAGAGAGAGAGAGTAAGAGAAGTACGATTACGTCGTCGTATGAATCAGAGAGCTCGCCTTCTTCTTTAGCTTTAGAGTCTTCGATGTCTTTGCTAGGGTTTACATTCTTTTGAAGCCATAGGTTTGGTTTTAAGCTCATCGTCATCCATGAATTTAATAATATTTTTTTCTTTATCCTTTTTTCCCCTCCTCGACTTTCTTCTTTAGTCTCAATCGTGAGGTCAAAAATGGAAAATAAAATTAAACCGTCTCTTGAACATAACGGTAAATTCTTGATTGTCACATGAAAAGTGGACTAATATAAGACGTTACCAGATATATTAAAAGATATTTAATCAATTCGATTTAGTTCTATCGAAAATGTTGAGTAATAATAATGTAGCAGGTCTAAATCATGAAGATATATTAAAAAATTTGGCAGCCGGCAAACTTAGCTTGTCGGTTTATGTCGATAATTTATAAAAATGTATCGATCCACATCAATATAACAGGTAAAAATATGAAAAAACCGGTCTCAAAAAGACAAAACCGGTAAAGTGGTACCGGATATATTGAAAGTGTCGATACTTTAATATAAGTATCGACACTTTGTGAATTTAAAAGAGAAGCAATTTTAGCGTTTATAAAGTGTCGATACTTTATAACAATGTATCGATTAACAACGATATAACATGTATAAATATGAAAAAACCGGTCTCTAAAGGACAAAACCGGTATAGAGCGACCGAATATATTGAAAGTGTCGATACTTTAATATAAGTATTGACACTTTGTGAATTTAAAAGAGAAGCAGTTTTAGCGCGTATAAAGTGTCGATACTTTATAAAAATGTATCGATCCATAACGATATAACAGGTAAAAATATGACAAAACCGGTCTCGAAATGACAAAACCGGTAAACCACTACCGGATTTATTGAAAGTGTCGATACTTTAATAAGTAGGCGTAATAAATTATAGAAACTTTCAAAGAAATAGGTAATTATACTATCGAAAGTATCGACACCTGACATAAAAGTATTGACACTTTGGTAGTTGTATCGATTAAATATAAATAATATATACGGTGAAAATATAAAGGGCATAGTTAAATATCCTCTAAAAAATAGATAGAACGGACGAGTTTTTGAAATCGAAGCGTAATTGTTGTTGCATTTCAGAAGGCGTTTCTAAAGCGAAGTTTGTTTGTTTGTTGCTGCAGTCAAATCGAAAAGTACGTTGTCGAAACCCTAGTTTTTTATTATTACATTAATCGGAAATAGGATTTTTATGTGTTGTTTGAGGTTTTGGAGTAAAGAAGCATTTGTGATCGATTACAGGTAGAAAGTGATATTTTATGTAAAATATAAATATTGATACTTTTATTAAATATTATAGGTGAAAAATGATATTATAGAATGTGCCGATACTTGGAGTATTGAGTGTTCCCATTCGTTTGAAGGAAATAGGGATTAGGGTTTTTGGGTTTGGTTTGGAGATTTCGATTCGAAGCCAAGAAGGATTTGGGACCGATTATATAATATTATAGGTAGAAAATAAATATGGATACATGTATATAATATTATAGGTAGAAAATGATATTTTAGGTTGTATAAATATGCCGACACATTTTGTAGTGGACATTAAAATTATTTTGAAGAAAACCGTTTTACCACAAGAGTTGTTATCTATATTTGTATATTGAATAAAGTGTATGTAACAAGTATTTGATTTCATTTGCGTAAACTGATATATAAAGGAAAAATGGAGTCAATGGGTGGAAAAATTGTTGGTGGTGCAAATGACTTTAAAATTGAGGCTGAGTCTCGAAAGCAACCAAAGGGTGGATATATGTACTTCTAGTAAGTATCAATGTCTTTTTGTTATTATTGTTGAAATGGTAATTGAATTAAAGTATTTAAGAACTTTAAATTGATTATAAATTTTAAATGTTGACAGTATGACCGAATGCCAAAGGATGAAGGAAGGTGGCGAACACATCGGTTCAGTATGTAAATTGAAATTGACATTGAGTATTATTTAGCGTTAATGTATTGATTAATAAACGTTTATGCTTAATATTAGGTGAGAAATGATGTGTTGTAGAAATGGAATTCGATGAGTGATGCTGATAAGGAACCTTACATCGCACAGTCAAAGATGGATAGTGAAGAATACAAAGAATGGAGGAAAGCACATGAAAAGAAGGTATACATTAAACTTGTAAATACGTTGATACAAAATATATAAGAACTATAACATTATATATTATTAAAAAATGTAGGAAATGTCGACAAGGTGCAATATTAAAAGGGTGAATTCATTAATTAAACACCTTAAGGAGAATGGTCAGTTGAATGTACGGGGAGAAATGGGGTTTAGATCGTTGGTAGGAGTAAGGGATCGACCTATTCGGAGGGAATTGTGTCGATCCTTGATGGCACAATTTGATGTTGAACAATGTATTGCTAAATATGGTGATTATTCATTTCCTCTGGGGATCCCATGTGCTACAGTTGTCTTGGGGGTAGGAAATAAAGGCAAAAGTGTTGTAGAAGTCTCTAAGAGTAAGAATTGGAAAGCACTTGCCTCCAAATATGGTTTGAAGTAGAATGTGACATATGTTGAACTTGAAGAGGAAATAAAAAGTGGATCTTACAAAGGGGGATGAGCTGAAGGCTTGAGTTCTATTGTACCTTGTTGGGATCTTTCTTTGTCCAACGGGTGATACGTCAACAAACAAGGACTATATGAATCTCATTTGCGATGAAGGCTTGAAGGGTGAATTCAATTGGGTTGAATATGTCCATTCGAGATTGATTGAATCAATAATCACCTTTAAAAAGGGCAGCCAGAGATACCTCAAAGGGTGCATAGCAATCTTAGAGGTAAATGAGTTGAAGAACGATTTTTTATATAAAATGATAATATAGTTATTATATAAAATTATAAATTTTATTATAAATGCAAGCTGCACTGTTCAATTTTTGGTCGGGCTGTGAGGCAGTGCCGGCTAATGAAAGAACCGGAGTGGCACGCATCCGTGCATGGGGGAAGGAAGAGGTGGTTAGAGTGATGGCGAAGTTGAAGTTGGATAGACCGAGGAAGCAAGAAAGGGTAATAAATGTAATTAAATAATATTAAAAATATAATCAATTTTTTAATATTGTAATTTAATTTTGAAGGTTATTGGCAATGAGGTAGAGGAGGCAGAAGAGAATGAAGAAGAGATGATTGTATTGGGGGATGACAGTGAGGGGGATGACAGTGAGGGAAAATAGAGTAAATTCAATATTTTGATGTCTGAATTGGTTGATATAAAAAATTTTAATTTGATATCATGCAAAGACAATAAAGAGTTGAAGAGAAACTTGAGAGAGTCGAAGAGACACTTGAGAGGCATAAGGGGGAAGTGAAAGGATAAATAGATGGAGTGGTGAAAGAAGTTGAGGTGTTGAGTGGTGAAGTGGTGAAAGAAGTTGAGGTATTGAGGGTGAACTTAAGATGGTGATGGGTGAAAAAATTGATGGAGTCGTGAAGGAGATTATGGAATTGAGGAGTGAACTTACGGGGGTGAAGGGGGTGGTTGATGAATACTTGGATGAAGGGGAAAATTGAAGGGTGAAATAAAAAAGATGAAGAGCTATGTAGAGCAAAAATACGATGAACTGAAAAACTATAAAGAAGAAAAGATGGAGGAAGAAGAAAAGAAGGTGGAAATAAGGAGGAAGGATGTCGATGTGATCTATACACCGGAGAGTGTTATAGATATAGATTTGGATTCGGAATGTTCTGCACCCCAGAAGAAGAAGCAGAAGGTAAGTTGAATAAAAGAAAACTTAATTCGATCTTTATCATGTTGTTGTGACAAAAATTTGTATGCAAAATGTTAGGTTGAAAAAACGGATATTATAACAACCCGAAAATTTTAAAATAATATTTAATTGAGAATTGAGGTTTTAATTGAGTAATTGGTGAACATTTGGGGACTAAATTGGAAGTTTTTAAAACTTGAAGCTTGTTTAAGAGTTAAAGAAAATTCAGGGACCAAGCCCTGAATTTACCCTAAAATGTTAGGTAAGGGCTGTTATATACGTGAATTGGTTTCTGATTTCAGAAACCAATTCTTCCCAAATTCCCTCTCCCAACCTCAACTTCCGACGACGATCCCGACGCCGTCCGAATTCCGATCGTCATTTAAAAACCACCATCGTGTTCATCATCGAGCGAGGAACAAACCCTTCAATTTAATTGAAGCGAAACGCTGCCAAACGCCGTGAATTTCAAGTCAAAGCATCGACGTTTTTTTAGCTCAATCGCCTAGAAAAATCCTAAATTCATCGCCGATCGTTGCTCCGTTTACGACACCTCCCGCACCATCGTGTTCCTTGTGCCGTTCCAAGTCCGCCGGTGTCCTCCTCGACCTCCGTTGACGGCGGCGCTTGGGGAGGTGGATCAGTCAAAGATTCGGCCGAGTCAAAATCGAGCTCTCCGCCGTTCAAAAATTTGAACCGATCTTTGTAAGTATCTCGAAATCGCTCAAAATAATTTTTAGAAATTTTTTCGTGATTTTTAGAGCCCCGGAGGACGTCGCACGCGCCCCACGCGCCGCCGCAGGCGAGTGAACGCTGGAAACCGGTTTTGACCGGTTTAACCGGTTTTGACCGGTTTGAACGGTCACGACCCGTTTACCCGACCCGACCCGTTTACCCGACCATTTACCCGACCCGTTGACCGTTGACCGATGACCGTTGACCGGTGCTATTCTGGGAATTAATTCAGTTTTGGTGCTATTTTGGGAATTAATTAGAAATGGGTGCTATTATAGTAATTTTTCGAAACAAAATGATATTTTGGGAATTAATTCGAAAATGATGCTATTTGTGTAAAATGTTTGACAGTTTGTTGACCTCCTTTGACCAGAACTTTGACCGGCTTTGACCGGCTATTAAACGACTTTTGTTTTCGACCGAGAATACTTATCCTGATAGTTTTCGATGTCCCGAATCCGTTTTTGGGGTCCGTTTTGGTAAATTCAAACCCGAAAGTCTCCAAATCGTTAGTCAAAACCGTTTACTTTAATTTTGACCAAGAATTCGAATTTTCAGATGGTCATACTTTATGTTTTTCGACGTCCTGAATTTGATTCCGAAGTCCGTTTTGCCAA